AAGGATGGAAAAAGATATTCCATGCTAACAGAAACCAAAAAAGAGGTGGAATAGCCATCTAATATCAGACAAAATAGACTTTAACACAAAAACTGTTAGAAGAGTAATGAACGACACTATGTAATGATTAAGGGATCAATACAACAGGAAGATGTCACTATATAAATGTAAATGCACCCAATTACTGGGCTATTGGCTATTTAAAACAAATGTTAATAGATACAAAGGAAGATATAGGCTCTAATGCAATAGAAACAAGGGACATCAACATTGCACTTTCATCAGTGGATAATCAAGTAGACAGAAAATCAACAAAGAAAGAACAGAGCTAATCAACACTGTGGAGAAAACGGACCTAACTGATATCTGTAGAACGTTTAATCCCACAGTTGCAGAATGCACATTCTTTTCATCAATACATGGAACTTTCTGTAGGACAGACCATATGCTAGGCCATAAAGCAAGTCTCAGCAAACTCAAAAAAACTGAAATCACACCATGCATTTTCTCTGACCACAATGGAATGAAACTGGAAATCAATAACTCAAGAACCTCTAGACATATGCAGATACATGGAGACTGACAACGTGCTCCTGGATGAACTGTGGGACATAGCAGAAATCAAAAGAGAAATAAAAAAATTTCTGGAAATAAATGAAGATGACAATACAACATATCAAAACTTATATGATACAGAAATAGCAGCATTAAGAGGGTAGTTTATAGGGGCCGGCTCTGGGGCATAGCTGGTAAAGTCGCAGCCTGCAGAGCCAGCATCGCATCCCATATGGGCACCGGTTTGAGCCCTAGCTGCTACACTTCCAATCCAGCTCTCTGCTATGGCCTGGGAAAGCAACGGAAGATGGCTCAAGTCCTTGGGCCCCTGCACCTGTGTAGGGAAGACCCAGAAGAAGCTCCTGGCTCCTGGCTCCTTGCTTTGGATTGGCGCAGCTCCGGCTGCTGTGGCCAATTGGGGAGTGAACCAGTGGATGGAGGATCTCTCTCTCTCTCTTTCTCTGCCTCTCCTCCTCTCTCTGTGTAATTCTGCCTTCCAAATAAATAAATAAATCTTTTTTAAAAAGAGGATAGTTTACAGCTATCAGTGCCTACATCAAGAAATTGGAAAGATAGCAAATAAATGAGCAATCAATGCATCTCAAGGACCTGGAAGAACAATAAGAAACCAATCCTCAAATCAGTAGGAAGTAATAAATAATTAAAATTAGAGAAGAAATAAACAAAATTTAAGGTAGCATGATTTTTAAATGACCAAAAACACAGTAATTACATGTACTATACTTTAGGGATTTCATTTTTCATTCATCTTTATGGAGATTTAGAATTCATTCCTTGTGCTTAAAGGAGATGTTTAATTGAGAAATAAACATTAAAGTACAAAAAAAAAAATACAAAAGATCAGTGAAATGAAGAGCTGTGTTTTTTTTTGAAAAAAAAAAAAAAAACAAAACTGATACATCGTTGACCCAATTAACAAGAAAAAGAGGGAGAAGACCCAGAACAATAAAATCAGAGATGAAAAAGGAATGTAATAACAGATACCATGAAAATTAAAAAGAATCATCAGGAGCTACTACGAAGAGCTATATGACAATAACTGTGAAACCTAGAAGAAATGGATAGATTCCTGGACCTATAAAATCTACCAAAAATGAGTCAGGAAGACATAGAAAACCTAAACAGACCAATAACTCAGACACAGACTGAATCAGAAATAAAGAAAAACACAGAACCAGATGGCTTCCCTGCAGAATTCTACCAGACATTTAAAGAAGAACTAATTCCAATGCTTCTCAAGCTATTCAAAACAACTGAAAGCGAGGGAATGCTCCTAAACTGCTTCAATGAAGACAGCATTACCTTAATTCCTAGACCAGAAATAAATACAACAAAAAATGGTAACTATAAACCAATATCCAAGATGAATATAGATGTGAAAATCCTCAACAAAATATTAGCTAATTGCATCCAGCAACACATCAGAAAGATCATTCATCTGGACCAAGTGGGATTTAGCCGTGGCATATAGGGATGGTTCAACATTAACAACTCAATGAATGTGATACATTACATTAACAAACTGAAGAACATAAACCATTTGATTATCTCAATAGATGAAGAAATAGCACTTGATAAAATACAATATTGTTTAATGATGAAAACCTTAAGCAAATTGGGTATGGAAGGACATACCTCAACACAATTGAGGCAATTTATGATAAACCCACAGCCAACATCTTATTGAATGGGGAAAAGCTAGAAGCATTCCAGAACCAGACAAGGATTCCCACTCTCACCATTGCTATCCAATACAGTTCTGTAAGTTTTAGCTGGAGTCGTTAGGCAAGAAAAAAATCAAAGGAATACAAAATCTATAGGTCCAGGAAGTCAAACTATCCCTATTTGCAGATGACATGATTCTATATATAGGGGACCCAAGAGACTCCACTAAGAGACTACTGGAACTCAAAAAAGAGTTTGGTAAAAAGTGGGAGGATACAAAATTAACAGAAAAATGAATAGCCTTTGTATACAAAATCAATGCCATAGCTAAGAAATTCTAAGGTCAATCCCATTCATAAATGGCTACAAAAAATTAAATACCTTAGAGTAAATTTAACCAAGATGTCAAAGAACTCTATAATGAAAACTGTTAAGACATTAAAGAAAGAAACAGAAGAAGACAAAAAAAAAAATGGAAAAATCTTCCACGTTCTTGGATTGGAAGAATCAATATCATAAAATGTCCATAATACCAAAAGTAATTACAGATCAATGTGAACCCAATCAAAATACCAATGACATTCTTCATAGATGTAGAAAAAGTGATGTTAAAATTCATATGGAGGCTGGCACCATGGCTCAATAGGCTAATCCTCCATCTGTGGTGCCGGCACACCGGGTTCTAGTCGCGGTCAGGGCACCGGATTCTGTCCCGGTTACTCCTCTTCCAGTCCAGCTCTCTGCTGTGGCCCGGGAAGGCAGTGGAGGATGGCTGAAGGTAATATGAATGATCTCTCCAAAATATGACTGGCCAATATAACTCCTTAGTCCAACTCTCTCCCATTCCTTCAAATTTGTTCCTGTAGACCAACATTTGGCCAATTCCTTTTGTAAAGGGCCACAAAATAAATATTTTAGGGCTTGTGAGACATGTGGTGTCTGTTTCAGACTTAACTCTGTTGTGGTGCCATGGAAGTGGTCATAAATATTACATAAACAAATGGGCATGGCTGTGTTGTGGTAAGACTTTATAACAGTGGGCTGGAATATGGCTGACAAGTGGCAGTTTGCCAGTGTTTTCTTCTGTCATATTTCACTCATTTATCCCATTAATATTAAGTAACTTGTCTGGGCTAAGCACCATGTTAATCACAAGGGATACAGTGCAGAGAAAGACACCTATGTTCCTTGTCCTCACAAAGCTTAACATTTAGTATGGGAGAGAAATCTTTTTTTTTTTTTTTTTTTTTTAGAAAACTTGCATTAATATATAAAACTGCCACTGTGGTCAGAACTACAGGGCAAATGTAAAGAGTGCTACCAAACCAATGAGGCAGAACTGACCGGTGGCAGAGACCTTTGTCATTTAATTAAACTTGCTTCTAACTAACATGATTAAAGTTGTGGTAGAGGCTTTCCAAGGTCAGAAGAAGAAAAAGGGAGGCATTTGTCTTGGGAATGAAACATGGTTGTTATCTGCCTGCCTACGAATGCTTCAACTGTAGTCCCTATTTGCTTGTTTGTAACCATTCAGGTTCTGCTTGTTGGTACAGAGCAATGATGGTGACCCTTGCCAGACAGCAAAGAGCTCAGTATGTGTGTGGAAAAATCATAGATAACTACCTTCACATGTGCAGTACTGTATCAATCCTGTGGCCGCCATGTAACACTCAAATAGTCAATCAAATGTATGCATGTAACCACGGAAGGGGAGACAAAGAGGCTAAATCCATACATGAGAAAAAAAAAAACCTTCTTTGTTCAGGACTCAGTCTTTCAGATAAGAAATTCCATCTGGGCCTTATGCCGGCATTATAAAAGACTACTTCTGTTCCTTGGTGTCTTGTCCTGCTGTAGACCTAGACACAGGAGAAGGATTTCCTGAAGAATTTTGTTATTGAGAAAACATTTGAAGGGAGGGAAGATTATTCTAGGGAGAGGGATCAACATTTGAATAGACCTCATAACAGGAAAAACGCCTGGCTCATTTCAGGACCCAAGCAAGGCTAGAATGACAAAACTTAAGGAAGCTGGAGACAGAGGGAAGGGTAAGACAGTGCATTTTGGGCCACATTCAGGATTTTCAGGACTTAAAGAGAAAAAAATAGGCAGCTCAGATAAAAGCAGACATCAGGAATCAATAACGGAAAACAAATAGTAAAATGTGGCACATTATATCTACAGACAGCTCTTACTGGGTAAAGCTTAGAAACAATGTATTTCAACCAAGAAGGCTGAAATATGTGTATGTATGTATGTGTGTGTGTGTGTGCAATTTTTTATTTTTATTTATTTTTTATTTAAGGTATACAAACTTCATGCTTTTCATAAATTCTAATTTAGGAACATAGTGACTCTTCCTACCCTACCCTCCATCCCACACTTCTTCCCCCTCCCTCTTCAATTCCCATTTTTATTTTATACTAAGATCTATTTTTAATTAACTTAATGTGTTTAAATTTTTAAACAACCAAATATTTTTCTAGATATTTCATTTTTTGTTTAACCATAATCACTAGGGATTTTGTCATATTTCTGGATGCTCATTCTAAGGTTCACAGGTAATATGACACATCTAGAGTCAGAAAGTTTTTATTTTAAATATAGGAATTAAATAAGAAATAATGGGTGAGATCATAAAGCTTAATTCTTGGCATTTAATAGGCAGTTAGAATGTATTTACTGAATCTGGATCATAATAAAATAAAGTAATTTCAGACATATTGTTCTTGATCCATACACAGTGAGTATTTTATTACCTTGAATATCATCATTGAATGTGCAATACTGGTTTCGATACTTGTTCAGCAGCCGAAATGCATTCACGTTGGCAAAATCTTCAAACTGAATAAGGCAATTCATACCATATCTATGGAACAAAACATTGATAATAATAGAAGAAGTTAATGAAATAATATTTAGAGATAAACTTTTAAAATTATCCCACAGAAAAGACAAAACACTATTTTCTTTTAAAGTTCCCATCTTATGGCTTAGTATAAGTATGTGATGTATAAGTATGTGATTCATTCAGCAAATATTTATTGCATGTTTACTATAGAAAAGTTGCACAAATTTGACATGTGGAATAATGGAAGTGACAAAGCATGGTCCCTATCCTAAGGAATTCAAAATTTAGTAGAAATAAAAATCCTTTTGAGATAAATATAAAACACATAAAAATAACATAAAAGTGTCATAAATCAGGAATTATAGCTGTTCACAGTAACAAATGAATTAAGTTTTAGTGGACAGTTACAATTTTCTTTTTTTTTTTTTGACAGGCAGAGTGGACAGTGAGAGAGAGAGACAGAGAGAAAGGTCTTCCTTTGCCGTTGGTTCACCCCCCAATGGCCGCCGCGGCTGGCGCGCTACAGCTGGTGCATCGCGCTGATCCGAAGCCAGGAGCCAGGTGCTTCTCCTGGTCTCCCATGGGGTGCAGGGCCCAAGCACTTGGGCCATCCTCCACTGCACTCCTTGGCCACAGCAGAGAGCTGGCCTTGAAGAGGGGCAACTGGGACAGAATCCGGCGCCCCGACCGGGACTAGAACCCTGTGTGCTGGCGCCGCAAGGCGGAGGATTAGCCTAGTGAGCCGTGGCACCGGCCCAGTTATAATTTTCAAAAGTAGATATGTAGAGTTTTATAAGCTTAGGGAAAGCAGAAACAAAATAACTGAGGTGAAAAGTGGAAAAGAAAAATGTGCTTAAAACATGGTAAACAGCCCTATTTGGCTACAATGGTGTGATATATGTAAGGGCACTGTGGAATTAAGTTCAGATCTTCCTTCTGTTATTTTTAATTATTCCGATATGTTCTAGTTTCACCTCCATGTGTCAATGACAGCTATTCCATCAATAGATGAATGAACAAAGAAAATGCGGCATATATATACACAATGAATATTATTCAGCTATACAAAAAATAAAATCATATCATTTGCAACATAATGTTTAGAACTGGAGTACATAGTGCTGCATGAAAAACAAATACCACATGCTCTCCCTTAAATGTGGGGGCTAAAATTAAAAATTAAAAAAATAAAAAAACAGTTATTTGAGCAGTGGCCATCTCTCTATACTTAACCTGTCTCCTTGGCTCCCCACACTCTGCATGTCTCTCTCAAAGCACTGAGACAGCACCCAAAGTCGCGCTATTGAATCTTAGCCAGGATCTCAGCCATATCCTGCAGTAACTGCTTTCATCACTTACTGGTCCACAACGTGATCCTCTCAGCTGTCTTAGTCCAAGAGGATGGTATAACAAAATACCACGGATTGGGTAATTTATAAGCAATCGACATTTATTGCTCACAGTTCTGGAAGCTGGACCGCGACAATCAAGGTGGCAGTAGATTCTATGTCTGGTGAGGGCCCTTATCTCATAGTGAGGCTTTCTTGCTGGGTTCTCTCCCACATGGTAGAAGAGACACACATGATCTCTTCCGGCTCATTAATAAGGATACTAACCCCATTCCTGAGGGCTCTCATGACTTCATAATTTCTTCAAAAGTGCCACTACATTATAAGATCACATTGGTGTTTAAATTTCAACATGAATTTGAGGGTGGTAAACACAACAAATATTCTGATCATAACAGTTGTTTTAACAAATTTCTTTTATTCTCCTTGTCCCCAAGCACTCAATTCCTTACCAGTCACTACCACACTGAAATCTATGCTACAGAGAACACTCAACCTTTTCATCTATACTGAGATATTTTTGCACATTTGTTTCTCTTTCCTTTGTCTACTTGCAAAAAGTACTCTTGCATCCTTCTTTCTAACATATGGACCTCACAGTACAACTTTCCACTTCTACAGTAGCAGTTTCAATTACTCCTTCTTCACTATTTCCTTCCTGTCTCCAAGGATTCTTAGGACTCCCTGATTTTAAAATCACTTCTCTTGACTATGACAAAACCAAACCTATGGTTATGTATTAATCTTCCACCCAATGCCAAATCTTGCAGAAAAGCTGGTGCTAAATTTCATCTTCATTTCTGACTTCTTGTCAACATTATGCCTATAATTCAAGGACAGTCTCAAAACCAACACGCCATGTTATTACAGTGCAGATAAGATCTCTCCATCTGTCTAGTCTGATCCAACAAAAATCTGTTAAGTCTGTTTCCATTTTACCATTATATTATTATATACTTGTCACTGATGAGCTATCTTTTATATTATTATATACTTGTCACTGATGAGCTATCTTTTAAAATCACCATAAAATTCACAGGCAAAAACTGGTACTAAATTTTATTGGTATGTTTTGGTGATTACTAGTGAAAGTTGGCATATTTTTCTATATCTTTGTCATTTGCAATTCTTTTTGGAAGATTATGTTTGTTAGTTAACTTTTCTATTGTGTTAGTCCTTGGCTTTATTATTTCATAGGAGGTCTTTATATATTAATAGTGCCTTCTATTATACCTATTGCAAATAGTTTTCCTAATTTAGTAAATGGTGCCATTAATCATTTAGTCAATGTTCCTCTTTGTTTTGATCAAGGAATATTAAGTTATTATACAGTCATATGTTTCAATCTATTTATAATTTCTGATTTTGATGATATGCTTATAATAGCCTTATCCACATATATTAATTTAACTATTAAAATTTTCTTCTATGGTATTACAAAGTTATAAAATAGTTAACTTCTAAATTTGGCATAATTTTATCGCTACATCATATATTTTAAAGAAAGATAGATTAAAATTTCTGTTTGCCATATAATTAACCCAGCTACACCAGCATCATTTATTTAACAGTTCATATTTCCTCTCATCACTTCTAATCCTATACTATATTCTATTCTATAGTAGGATCTATTTCAGTGCTTTTCTGTTACTTTACTACTGTTAATGACAACTTTTTTTTTACTCTATAAGATTCAAGACACACAAATATACACACATGCACATTCACTTGTTCTTCACAACCATTCTACAAAGTGGGCACAGAGGCACATCATGTTTCTATTGCTCAGTAATCGTTGTCTAGTAGTAAGGATGCATCCACTAATTTCCCTATGCAGGAAAATATGCCTGTATTTTCTCATGATAGTTTTCTCATAACTTTAATATTTAATATTGTTAGTCATCCCCTATTCTTCTTTTAAGTATTTGCTTAGCTGTTATAGTGGGTTTTTCTGAAGACTTATTTATTTGAAAGGTAGAGTGACAGAGAGAAAAGGAGACACAGAGTCAAAGACAGATCTTTCATTTACTGGTTTACTCTCCAAATGGCTGCAACAGCTGGAGTTGGAACAGGCTAACACCAGGAGTCCAAAACTCCACAGAGGTCTCTCACGTGCATGGCATGGACCATCTTCTGTTGTTATCCCAGGCACACTGGTAGGGAGACAGACTGGAAGTGCAGCAGCCAGGACCTGAATGAGCAGCACTCCAATATGGGATTCTGGTGTTATGAGCAGCAGCTTAACCCACTGCAGCACAATGCCAGACCCTGTTATACAGTGCCTTAAGACCACAGACTCCATAGTCAGACCTAGAGATCAAATCTTGTCCTCACATACCATGTATCTTTAACTCCTTTGTTTCTATTTTCCCATTAGAAAAAATAAGAATAATAAAAGCATATTATCATAAGGCTGTTATAAAGATTAAATGAAGTAATAGGTGTTAAGTGCAATGAATAGCACATAAGTACTCTATAATCACTATATTTTTAAAATTTTATGGTACTAATAGAAGCCAATAGACAGTAATGTATAAAATCCACAAAAGCCTAAGAGATAATAACTGTCATCCTAAATAATATATCTAGCAAAGTTACCTCCAAGAATAAGGTTAAGGGAGATCCAAGATGGCTGAACAGCATATAGCCGCAATAACTTAATCTGCTCTGAGATATGAAAAGAACAAAGGAAGGACTACATTTCCAGGGGTCTGACTGAAGAAGTGAAAAAACAACAAAAGACTCCACGGTACAAGAAGAGAGAAGACAGCTACATCACTGCAGGCAGCTATGGTGTGGGCCACCATCTTACCATGTCAAGGTAGAAAGAAATCGCCACACACCACTCACCGGTTTTGCTGAGAGTGAAATCCAGTCACCCACTGACATTCATTTCATCCTAGAGAGCTGACTGGAATCTGTGCAACTGCTGGGCTTGGAGCAGGGAAGCCATCTTGCTTCCTTTGCCTCCCTCATTCCCACAAGACCGCACTCGGCAGCACGAAGTCATGCAGTGCATCTCTGTTCTCCTACCAGCATCACAGTCAGAGTCAGGGCAATGTGTGGGGCAAAGAACAGACCCCCTGCCTCCTGTTACTGTGGGAGTTTTAGGGCATTAGCCCCAGAGCCACACTCATACACCCTACATGAGAAAGGGGGATTCACCTTAGCATCTGGGGGCTATCCTAGAAGGAGCCCATAAAAAAATCTGCTCCCACCCTGGGAGAGCTGGATAATGAAACCACTATGCCCTGCAACACCAGGACTGTAACAATTTGTACTAAATTTCTCTGTGCCACTGGAATCTACCCAGTAGACTTTCAGAAGAACTTACCTGCATTTCACCTCTCTGGATTCCACAATAAAATCTCTGGTATACCTTGTAGTCACCATGTAGGACTGGAACAGGGTTCAGTTCATATCCCCTAATCCTAGGACTAGAGCTGTTGGTATTATAAGCCACTGTACCAGTTGGACTTTCCTAGCTGGACCTGAGGAAGGGTCCATCCACAACACACGGTCCTAGAGCCACAGAAATTGGCTCCATGAGCCCTGGAATCACTCAGGCTTGCCAGTAAGACAAGGGAGCAGAGCAGCCATCTTTGTCTCCCTTGACACCAAGTACAATTCCCTGGCTATCATAATTGCCAGGGAGACTGGCACTGAACT